AAGTTGGTCCTTGTCCAGGACTTGATGTTGGACAGTAGTCCTGGAGTTCAGGGTGGAGGTAGAGAGATAGAGTTGGGTGTCATCCACACACATGTGGAAATTTACCCCATGTCTGTGGATGACGTCACATGTAGAGGGTGAAGAGGAGGGGACCAAGGACAGAGCCGTGAGGAACACTGCACGAGACAGTATGGGGACTGGAAGAGAAGCCGTTTGCCGCGACAAATGGAGGCGCTGTGAAAGATAGGACCAGTCAAGGACAGAACCAGATGGGAAGACACTCCAATTTTCTTTGAAATAATATTGCGTGTGTCTGTTTGTGCTCTCGCAGGAGTGTGGTTTGGGGGTGGGGTCTTAAAATCTAGTAGTATCATAAGACAACAACAAGATTCCATTTATAGAGCGCCTTTCACGTCAGGAGGACGTCCCAAAGCGCAGGTACCCCAAACTGACAAATATTCAATTTAACATAGATTAATACTGACGCTGCTTTCGGAAATATTATTCAAATGTTATTTTATTCAGTTTAACACAAGATTATTTTTGGCGTGGTTGAAGTGCGCTGTCAAACATCCTGTTGCAAGTCATACTGGGTGCATCAGCATATTATGTAATAGAGTGTGTGCAAGTGTGTGCGTCTGTGATTACAGGTCTTGATTACAGTCGAGGAATGTGGGGGGTGGGTGGGGGTTACAAAGCAAGAGGAAAGGAGTGCTTCTTCTAGAGAAGGGGGACCCTTTCTGTGTTGGCACACAATTTAACATTCAGTCACCAAACAGGACTGGCAGAAAGTAGACTTGACGTGGACTGACAACATGACTAACTAGAATCATCACAGTCCACCTCTTGGCGATTAGTAAAAGACTTGGCATCGTAAAGTGATCATTTTATGTGTTGTTAATCATGTTCTGCGGAACATTTTAAGGAGCTTAAATAAATTTAGTGACTTTTATTGGTGTGCCTGTTAATTCATTGAAACAACTGTATATTGTATTCTGTGAAGCGCTTTCATATGTCTCGAAGGCGTGTGAAGGCGCTATATCAAATGTAAGGATTATTATTATCTTTAATGACTAATTTTTAAAAAAGCCTCGTGGAACCTCAAAGAAAAAAAATAGGACTATTAGATGCAAGTGTCAATTTAAACAATAAATTACATTTTCAAAGCGTCTTTCACGTCGGGAGGTCTTCCCAAGGTACTGGACAGTCAGGCATTTGGACCCAAGCTCGGGTCTAGGATCAAGAGGGGTGGAGGGCAGGGAGGGTAGGGGTAGGAGGGTTAAAAAATGGTCTTACAGTCAATTCACTTTACAGTGTGTTCTGTGAAGCGCTTTGGGACGTCCTCCCGACGTGAAAAGCGCTATATCAAATGCAAGGATTATTATTATTATTATTATTTCTCAAAAAGACTCAAGACTGGACACCATCCAGCTTGTAAACTCTTTGTTTGTTTAGGGTAGGATGACCATATTTGGTAAACCAAATCCGGGGAACACTCATAAATAAAATTGAGTTCACCACAATTCCTGACGCTGGCAGTTACTGGAGAAGCTTTTTGGATTAATGGCTGCGTTTCTCTGATGAGTGGACTATGTCTGCTTTGGAATGTTATTGTTCTTGCTCAATTTGTGGCTGAACTCAAGACAGGGTAAATTGAAGGTTGTTTTAACAATGAGAATGGATCTCACGGTGGATTTTTCTAGCTGTCCACAAGTCATTCATAACAGAAAACACCCTCTCTATTGAAACATTACTTATAGACACACACACACACACGTTCAGTTCTGCCAGTTTAAAAAAAACTTGCATGTATGTAGTGTGGGGCAGAGTCTCGGAGCACTTAACAGTGGTGAAGCCTGAGGCCAAGCCAGAGGGAGGGAGAAGGTGACCGTAACAAAGGTTGAATATATACAACTGTATTAATTTTTTCTGCCGTAACTGGACTACTCTCTGTTCAATCACTGATCTTGAAGGAGCACCCCCCCACCCACACCCCTTCTAGTTCTTTAAGTAATTTTCTCACTAAAACAGTAAAATAAGCACAATATCTTCTTCATATCTTGTAGTCCACTTCTTTTTGAGATCGTTTAAACATACCAGCTGTCTCTTCTGCCTCTCTCACTCAAGCGATCTGATTATCATGAACAAGTGTCAAGTTTGCATGAGTTAAAGAGAGCCAGAGTTCGGTACATGGGTCTTCAAATATTTTTCAAAGAACTATGAGGCTCTTTTCCTTTGACAAAATTAAGGACTTCAATTGCTCATAAAGTTGAGGGATCCTCTGTAAAGCGTAACATTGATAGCCATTTGACATTACTATGTTCCAATATATTCCGATATTCTTATCCCAAACATTCACAACGTTTCAGCCTTTCCAAGCGAATAGTGAATGCATGAAAAATCTACAAATCTTCAATACAATATTCTCAACGTCTACAGGGCTTGTATCTATCACAGTTCGGCCAAGCATGATGTGAGACGGGTATCCAAGGCCTATCTCTTCTGTTTAAGCTTGTCTTGAGTGTGCACAATTTGTCTTCCTTGTCTGTTTAGGCCACCAAAGTTTGTATTCATATTATCTTGCTGAGAATGCCATAACCTTATCTTTGATATTCTACTTATTAATAACATTTATTATCTCAGCTGCATTAAGTTCTGGTGTCTCCATTAAGTTCATCAAAATCTAAGAGTTTGTTTGTGATCATAAGCCTTAAAATAGCAAGGAAGACAGGAAACAACTTTACATGCTTGTGATTCAATGCATAAACTGACAGTGACACACATTCGACATCTTTCAAATCATCAATTAATTCATCATTTGCCCATGGAGCTAAAACATTTGTAATTATTGCTTCACACTTTGTCTTTGCACACAAATTTTTAATTGTTGATTTTTTTTGTTAAAATCGGTGGTCCAGTCCATCATAATAATATTGACCTGAAGCTGTGATTATGTCTAATGGTATGATATGCATAAGTTCCTTCTTGCAGAGCAAGGTCATACTCACTTAAGTGTTAGCTCAGCGTTGCGAGAAAAATCGGTAGTGGTATGTTTGTGTTCTTTTACAGAGAAATGCAAAACACAGTCTGGCATATTAAACATAATACAGATTTTTCTTTTCCTGTAAATGAAAATCATTTTGAAGCTGGTCATTAAAACGAGATTTAATTTTTTTTGACAAAGTCATTTATACAACGAATCTTGTAGTGCATCAGATATCAACAAACATGAGAAATGTAATGTAAGGGTATGTCGGAGACAATTTATTCCAGACGGGTTTGTCCAGGGATAGAATACCTCAGCCTGGGACTGTCCCCAGAAATCAGGGATATATGATCACCCTACCTAGATAAACATTGAAAAACATCGAAAACTGTTTTACAGGTAATTGCTGTCAAGTGTGTTTTGTGGAGCCAAAATACAACAGCAGTAACTAGTTTGTGTGCAGCAAGTTCCCAGACAGATAATGTCCAATTCATTTGGAGGATTATTGGCTGGACGCTATTCTTTTCAAATAGTGCCACAGGATTTGGATTTAAACAGCGGACGTGACCCTCCCATACCTCACAAGCATCTGGATTGTGGCCTCTACTCCCACTTTACTTTGATAATAATCCTTACATTTGATACAGCGCCTCATCGCATCACTGAGACGTGTCAAAGCGCTTCACAGAACATACCAAAAAGTGAATTAACTGGATATTTTGTGGGCGAAACGTGGCAGACAATTGTTCCCCTCTACTTTTTCTTCCAATTGCTTTCCCCAATGAAACAAAATGTAATTTCTGCAAGCGCTCCCTCCCTCCCCTCACCCTATTTCCCCCCTCCTCGCTCCCTCCCTTCCCTCCCCTCACCCTGACCATTTCCCCCTTCCTCACACCCTCCCTCCCTCCTTGCCCCCTGACCATTTCCCCCCTCCTCGCTCCCTCCCTTCCCTCCCCCTGACCATTTCCCCCCTCCTCGCTCCCTCCCTTCCCTCACCCTGACCATTTCCCCCCCTGCTCGGATCCCGACCCAACTGTCCAGCGTTCGGGACGTCCTTCCGACGTGAAAGGCGCTCTATAAATACAATCTTGTTGTTGTTGTTGCCATAAGTGGGATGGGGGGTGGGGGGGGTTCGGTGGGAAATAATCTATTGTAATTGCCGGTTACGAAAACTTCTCTCAACTTCAGCTAAATGACCTGGAGGTGTGATCTTCATTTTCGCTTGAAAATTCAGCGACAAGTGAAACAGATGTAATGTTGGCACTCTTCGCTTTCATACAGTAATATAATTTCGTAAACTTTGCATTGGATACGGCGCCTCTCATCGCGTCGCATTTTTGAGGCGTCTCAGAGCGCTCCACGGGATACACCGTTGAAGGGGACCGGTGGCATATTTTCGTGGGCGAAACGCGGCAGCCGATCGCGCGCGCAAACGGCTGTGGAATGAAGTGACCGATTTAATATTGTGATTGGTTTTTTTTGAAGGATTATCCGCGGAAAAGCGATCGGGTTCCGACTTACCGCTAAACAGAGGCGCGCGGGGGGGGGCATAAGGAGACTTTATATGAAGTAGCGAAGCTAATTTCCTCATCCATCCTCCTCTCCCCTCCCCATCCTCCTCTTCCCCCCCTCCATCCTCCTCCTCCCCTCTCCCCATCCTCCTCTTCCCCCCTCCATCCTCCTCCTCCCCTCTCCCCATCCTCCTCTTCCCCCCCTCCATCCTCCTCCTCCCCCTCCCCATCCTCCTCTTCCCCCTCCATCCTCCTCCTCCCCCTCCCCATCCTCCTCTTCCCCCTCCATCCTCCTCCTCCCCCTCCCCATCCTCCTCTTCCCCCTCCATCCTCCTCCTCCCCCCTCCCCATCCTCCTCTTCCCCCTCCATCCTCCTCCTCCCCCTCCCTCTTCCTCCCCCCCCCACCTCCCCCTCTTCCCCTGACCCCACACACCCTCCTCCCCTCTCCCTCCGCCGGTGATCACCTGACCTGACCGCTTGCCGTAGCGCGCGGCGCGCAGCCGCAGAGCGTTGTGGAGACGGTGCTGGCGGCGGGTATGTGACCGCCATTCCCCCCCTTCTCTCCCTCTCTCTCACTCGCTCCACCTGACAGGGAACCCCCCCATCACCACCACCTCGTCGTATGGTGTCGCCCCATTCGCGCTCAACTGGGGCGCAGCCTCTGCGTACTCCGACACCGCCCAACCTGCTCCTCCTCCCGCCCTTACCCCCCAATCCCGCCGGCTCCCGAGGGCCGATCGCGACCCTCACTTGGGCTCCGCCATTTGCTCGGTCGCCAAGGCGACGGCGGAGGCGGCGTGGGCGGTGACGTGGGCGGTGGCTCGCGGTGCATCCTGGGAGTTGTAGTCTGTTTGTGCGCAGGCGCGGCCCGGGGTCAACTGGGTGGGGGGGTTAGGGAACTACGAATATCTCGCGGCCATCAGTGGGGGCGCGCAGGAGGGCAGGGCCAGGAGAGGGTGGGGGGGGAGGGGCAGGGCCAGGAGAGGGTGGGGGGGCAGGGCCAGGAGAGGGTGGGGGGGGAGGGGCAGGGCCAGGAGAGGGTGGGGGGGAGGGGCAGGGCCAGGAGAGGGTGGGGGGGGCAGGGCCAGGAGAGGGTGGGGGGGAGGGGCAGGGCCAGGAGAGGGTGGGGGGAGGGGCAGGGCCAGGAGAGGGTGGGGGGGAGGGGCAGGGCCAGGAGAGGGTGGGGGGGGAGGGCAGGAGAGGGTGGGGGGGCAGGGCCAGGAGAGGGTGGGGGGGAGGGGCAGGGCCAGGAGAGGGTGGGGGGGCAGGGCCAGGAGAGGGTGGGGGGGCAGGGCCAGGAGAGGGTGGGGGGGGAGGGGCAGGGCCAGGAGAGGGTGGGGGGGCAGGGCCAGGAGAGGGTGGGGGGCAGGGCCAGGAGCGGGTGGGGGGGGGGGCAGGGCCAGGAGAGGGTGGGTGGAGGGGCAGGGCAAGGGCCAGGAGAGGGTGGAGGGGGGGCAGGGCCAGGAGAGGGTGGAGGGGGGGTGGGGGGCAGGGCCAGGAGACGGTTGGGCGGCAGGAGGAGGGGGGCGGGAGTGGGGGGTGGGTGGAGGGGGCAGGAGTGGAGGGGGGAGGGGGCAGGAGGATGGGGGTGGGTGGAGGTGGGGGGGGGGGCAGGAGGAGGGGGTAGGTGGAGGTGGTGGGGGGGCAGGAGGAGGGGGGGGGGCAGGAGGAGGGGGTGGGTGGAGGTGGTGGGGGGGGGCAGGAGGAGGGGGTGGGGGGGGGGGCAGGAGGAGGGGGTGGGGGGGGCAGGAGGAGGGGGTGGGTGGGTGGGAGAGAAACATTCGCAATTGGACACGTAAGGAGTACAAATGCAATGAATTGCAATACAAATGCACTGCACTTCACTACGCTTTACAGTGTATCCTGTGAAGCGCTTTGAAACGTCTCGAAGACGTGATAAGGTGCCGTGTCAAAGGCAAGGATTGTTATTATTGTTGTAGTTGTTGGAGGGAGAGGAGCCGGAGACGGTATTTATTTGTATTTCCAGAAATCTGTAAAAACACAAATTTGATGTTTTTAAAGTGCCATCAATTGAATCCACAAATAGTCCAAGTGAATTTTTTTTTGTCCTTATGTTAACCCAGTGTGTCAGATTCTGCCACTCTCAGATTAAGCGCTTCAAGACGTCACGCAGAGTGAAGGGCGCTATATAAATGTATATTGTTGTTATGTTCTACAGGCGGGAGGGTGGTGGGGGCACGGAGGAAGGAAGAAAAAAATCGCAAAATACCCTCAATGTGGCTGTGACTCCGAAATAATAATCAGGATATATCATTTAGAAAGTGTAATGAAAGAATAATACATATAATATATATTTTTTTAAAAGTTGCTGTGAAACTGCACACTTTTTTAGATATTTAATAATAAGTTAACTAAATGAGTAAGCTAAATGAAAAGATAAATCTATGAATATAATATAATAATAATACTTGCATTTGATATAGCGCTTTTCACGTCGGGAGGACGTCCCAAAGCGCTTCACAGAACACACTGTAAAGTGAATTGACTGTATATTTTGTAGGAGAAACACGGCAGCCAATTGTGCACAGCAATGTCCCACAAACAGTCGTGGATTGAAAATGACCAATTATTTTTTGGTTTGGAGGGATTATTATTAGGCTCTGTGGAGTAAGGAAACTTGCCCAAGGTTTCGCCCTGACCTGCCGGGGATTGAACCCAGGTGTCTCGTTTGTAAGGCGAGTGCTATCACCACTGAGCTACAAGACTCTATACTGGGCAGGTTTGAAATGAAAACTGCAATGCTGATCCAACTTGAACCTGTTCTGGGATACTGTCAGTCTGGCTCAATTAGTAGAGTTCTCGTCTGAGTCGGATGGTTGTGGGTTCAAGCCCCACTCAGTCTAGGATAACATTTCTGTTCAGTGCTGGAACGGTCGGAGGTGCTATCTTTCAGAAGAGATCTTAAACACCATCTATACATGCTGAGACGTTATTTGAAAAGAGAAGGGAGTTTCTTGTGGCGTCCTGGCCCACAGTTCCCCCAGAGAAAAGAAATGGTCATTCACTTCATAGCTGTTTATTGCAATGTGCAAATTGGCTGCTGTGCTCAGCTACAAATATACTTCATCGAAAATTTGCTTTGAGGAGGGTCTCAGCGTTTTAAGAACTCTATCAAATGCAAGGATTATTTTTAAGGGCACTAGTGGGCTTGAGAGTAAGGAAGCAGGTTAACATGTGGATGATTTGCAGTGGGACAAACAAACATATATCAGGCAGGCATGTGATGAATAGAGCCCACGTCTCAGCTGTGACTATCCCGGTGGTTGGAGTACTGGCACTTGAAATTGGTTGGTTCTAGAATGAAGGAGAAGGGTATAAAATTTCAAGTGAGTGACAGGTGAAGGGTTGATACAAATAGACAGGCCGAAGAGAAATTAAAGCCGCCCGGATTTTAGAAGTGGATCCGACAAATATTTAATAGGAGGAGGATTTTAATGAGGTTGAAGAGTAAGAGTCGAGAAACAGTAAGAAAGTTGCAAGTAAACAGATACGTTTAAAAGTTTTTTTAAAAAGGGAATATAATGCAGATAGGATGAAATAACATTTTAACTCTTAAACTGCTAGCAGGTTCAGCTTGTGGCTTCTAAAGCCAATATAATGTTGCTGTACTAAAGCTGATGAAACATCAGGAGTAGTTTTATTACTGTAACGTTAAACCCAAATCAGTGCTTAAACTACAACTGTGACCTTATACATGGATATTTAATTGCACGTTTAAAAATTGCAGGACATTTATAACTGCACTGGGATATAACTGGCTAAACTTAACCCAAATCACTAGATGGGAGTGCACAGAACAGTATGTAACAAGCAGCAGTAACAGTTTCAGGCAGGAATAGACCATTGGTACATCCAGCCGAGGAAGCCAACTTCCTAAAAGTTTTCTTTGACACATCTGTCTTATCATCTATAATATTCTGGTCTGTTTTTAATTTCCAGAACCTAATCCATTTTTTGAAACCCCTTTATATGGCATTTCCTTGTTCTATCAGTCACTTGCCCTGATATTGCAGTTGTTAACTTTAACAAAAATATCTTTCGCATTCTTGCTGTCTGGATTGTGATACTATAATAAGAATAATGATATAAATATTTGATATAGCACATTATAACTTCTTCCAGACGTCTCAAAGCACTTCACAGTAAAGTGAATTAACTGTATATTTTGTGGGTGATGACTCCTTATTATGAAGAATGGACCTGTTTTTTTTAAATTGAGTTGTTATTCTCCGTCTTGTTTGCAATCATGGTACACTGTCTTTTAAGATGTTCCTTTTCTTTAAAGTATCAACCTGGATGTTATTTTGGTACTATCTGGAGTAAAGTTTTTACCCTTGTATCATTTATGACACGCCAGCTAACCATCCAAAATACTACTAGACCCTACGTTTAAAGTTTGGCTCGTTTTAAATTAGTAGTGTAGCTATAATAATTAATACCTTTTCAAAATAAGTGCTTGAAAAACTTATCCGGGATAAACACAAAACAAGAGCTAAATAGTTCAGAAGGAAGATGAGGAATAAATGAGAGACAAGCCCAAAACAACAACAAAAATACACTTAATGACATTAATTGCTATCCTGTATTGTGGGTGGAGATTGCCCACAGACCAGGCAGCCCAACTTTAATAGTCAGTTTTCAAACTGCAGCCAAATGCAGCATCCATGAGGTCTCGGAGCAACACTGGACCATATTTATGCAACGACACACTTGACTACAACTTTACCTTTATATAGCACCTTTCATATTGGGAGGACATCACATCAGTTCACAGAGCCGACTGGAAGCCTGAGCTGGGGTGAGGGGAAGGCCACTAGAGGAGCGCGGTCGAAAATATAGATCTTAAGGCAGGTTTAAAAGTGCCCTTTGATGGTGCACGTGATGAAATATTGGGAGCCCATTCTCACCAAGGGATGATGAGACAATCATGAGAGGTCTGATTGGAGATCTTCCCCTTTCACAATACAATAGAAAATTACATTTGTAAAGCACCTTTCACGTCGGGAGGACGTCCCAAGGTGCTGAAAAGTCAGGGATTAGGACCCGAGTGGATGGCGGGGATGGATTGGCATCAGGAAGGGTGGAGGGCAGAGAGAGTAGGAGGGTGGCCAAGTTGGAGAAGAGGGTCTTGAGGCATACCTTGAAGGAGGCGAGGGAGGGAGCGAGGCGAAGAGAATATGGGATGGAGTTCCAGAAGGTGGGGACATAGAGGCTGAAGGCCCGACCGCTGAGGGTGGGCTGGACTGGATGGGGGACATGGAGCAGGCAGAGCCTGCTGACAGAGGAAGCAGATGAGTTGATAAGGGGATAGCAGGTCTGAGAGGTAGGAGGGAGCAATAACAAACCCATTGCAGCATCATGCTCGTTCATAGTAAATAGAGCTTGATTTCATGCTTTCTGCGTGAAACTGGACTTTTTAACTCGATGGGGAAATGCCCCAAAACTTTTGCAATGTATATAATCGTTAATAATCCTTGCACGTCTCAAAGCGCTTCACAGAATATACTGTAAAGTGAATTGACTGTTCACTATTTATGGGCGATAGTTGTTTCATACACATTTGGTGAGAGTTTGGGTGGTCCCTACACAGATCACCTTAATGCTGATCAAAAGGCTGCTCACTCTCTATCCAGTAAACTGCCCAGGGTGAGTAAGGGGGAAAGTTTACTCAGAAGTTTTATTTCTCACGTGTGGGTGAAGTAACAAACAGGATCAATGACACCATTGGCCTTTTTCTGTGTTGTAATTCTGTAGCAGCCAATGCTAGAAATCAAATATTGAAATCCACATCACTTGCTAATAAAAAGGAGTGTAAAAATGTAGTTTTTTTTAATCAATGATTTTTACTTGAAGTGAATAAGGTTTGGTAAGGAGCTCCAGGGGCTCTCTCACTGGATGATTTCCAAACTGGGAGACGACAGGAAATATTGGCAGATGTCTGTTGTATTTACCACCAAAATCAAGTCACTCCATGCCTAAGCTCTTCCACAGTGCAAGGCCACAACCTGAACTGTGGTCTGGCAGCCGTTCACTTCTCTTAATATGTGTTCTCAATGTTGCTGTAGAGCAGTCTTACATGAAAATGGCGGAAAATGCACCATGGCGAGATACATTCCAGTCCAACTCAGTCTCTGTAAAGCGCTCAGAGGCCTGACGTGAAGGGTGCTATATAAATGTAAATTGTTGTTGTTATCAACCCGTTTTCTTCTGATTAGTGGAAAGTATTCTTTCTTGCCTCATAATTCCTGGCGGGGCGAAATCTTAGGCATGTTTTCTTGCTCCACACACCTAATGATAATCCCTCAAGAAAAAAAACAATAATAAAATTGGTCCTTCAACCCACCACTGTTTTGGGACACTGCTGTGCGCAATTGGCTGCCGCGTTTCTCCCACAAATATAGTCTATTCACTTAACAGTATATTCTGTGAAGCGCTTTGGGACATCTAGAAGACATGAAAAGCGCTATATCAAATGCAAGGATTATTATTATTTTTATAATAGCTTTGATTTGATTACCCCATGGTCCAAGAAGAAAGAGTGCATGGAACTACAGGGAAAGACCTATGCGTGAATGTGCCAGGAACATTTAGGTTAGGGTAGGGCACACTGGTTTTAACTTGAAGCTTAAGATGTAACCTGCTTACTGCTTTTTATTACCCTTATTAGTACACGAGGGAGTGTGTGATCCACCCAGTCGCTCTCTTAGTAACACCCGTGGGCCCATCATCCTTGACTTGTGCATGCAGAACAACCTTTTATCCCTCATACCAAGTCCTCCATCCATTTAACCTTGGCAAGTGGTTTGCTCGGAATGGAGAAAACCCAGGGGATAATTCTTTTGGAAGTTTTCTCAAGCGATGCAAACCCCTAACTGTTCAGACCTTGGGATATCCTTTCAACGTGAAAGCCACTATATAAATGCAATTTGTTGTTGATGTTACTTACCATGAATGTGCGACTGGGTGGATCGCACATACTAATAATGTACTAATAAAGGTAATAAAAAAAGCAGTGCTCCTCTGCCATCTATGGGTAGAGAGTTGGCTCAAAGAGTTTCTGAACGTTCTTGATTAGTGATCCCGACTCCATGGAACTAAAATATCAGTGTTGTAGGGTTTGCTCTTTCTAATTTTATACTATTTTTCCTTCCTTTCCTGAAGTTGCCAATTCTTTACTGAGGAACAGGAGGCGATTTGTTAGATTTTGCAGTGCGCAAATTAACCACCGTTTTTGCCTACAAATAGTCATTACAGACTATATACTGTGAAGCGTCTTGAGACGTCCTCCTGACGTGAAAGGCACTACGTGAAATGTAAAGATTATTATCATTAATAATTTTAAATAGGCAATTGTGCTTAAAAAGTAAGGTGTTTATTGGGTTCTCTGTAAGGTTATTGACAACATGTAACATTTGGGGCGAGAAATTGCTGGTAGGGGCAGGTGCCTGCAATTCATGTCCAGTTAAGGGTCAATACCAGTGTTCCAAGTCAAATATTTATTTACACCACACATGACATGTTTTCAACTGTGGAAATCTAGAATCACTTGGTTTGGAGGTACCCACGTTGCTTGAGGACTCCGTTGACTGATTTTCTCTTGGGTTTGTAGGATTATTAAACGGACGTTGCACTCTCTACCGGTGGTCGGGAAGGAAGCAGGTTGCTAAAGGTAAAAAGAGGATTTTTCCTTTCTCTGTGATAAGGCTCCCTGGTCCGCAGCCCACTAACTTCATATAACAAATAATAATAATAATAATAAAAATCCTTGCATTTGCTATAGAGCTTTCCATGTCTCAGAGATGTCTCAAAATGATTCACAGTATATACTTTAAAATAAATTGACTATATTTGTGGGCAAAACACGGCAGCCAATTGTGCACAGCAGCGTCCCACAAACAGGCGTGGATTGAAGTGACCAATTTTANTTTTTTTCTTGATGGATTATTATCAGACGTGTGGAGTAAGGAAACTTGCACAAGGTTTTGCCCTGCTGGGAATCAAACCCAGGTCTCTCGCTTGCGAGATGAGTGCTCTACCCACTGAGCTACAGGACTCCTAGAAGATACTTTTAGGAACTTCAAGATACTTGTTCTGAGCTTCAAATCCATTCATGTCCTTGCCTCACTGTACCACTGCAACCTGTTTCAGCCTCACTCTGCTGCCCATTCCCCCTGCTTCACATCACGGCTGATGACTAAACTTTCAGCCATTTTACACCTGCCCTCTGAAATTCTCTTCCCCAAATCTTGCTCTGTCATAAAAACATAGAAACATTAGTAGGCTATTCAGCATCTCGAGCCTGTTCCGCCATTTTATAAGGTAATGGCTGATCTGTACCTCAAGTCCAGTTACCCGCCCTTGCCCCACATCCCTTAATACTTTGACCTAACAAATATTGTTCTCTCTCCCTCCCTCCCTCTCTCCCTCTCTCCCTCCCTCCCTTTTCCTCCAAACCTCTTATCAAAACTTACCTCTTTGGCTGTGCCCTCAGGAACTTCCCTCCTATCCCCTTCTACCCATGATGTTCTACACCATGCTTGCAAAGTGATTCCCAATGTTATCCTACATGTAAGTGCAAGTTGTGGATAGTAGTGCTGTTTGTCTCTGGCACCACATTTTCCTATCTATAAAAAGAAACATTTTTATTGAAATAACATTTTAAATATATCATATTTTGGTCTTATTATCAGGTTGTAGGACATAAAACATCAAATTCACTGCTTCGGTCAGTGTTTCAGCTTGCTTTGTCTCTTTGGAGATTGCAGCCAGCCCTGTATGAGTCAGAAGACATGGAACCACTGATCCACTAAAGCAAGTTCTGCCCTTTTAGGAACCTTCATCATACACAGAAAAATCATATCAATTTATATTTAAATAATATATTAAACTTGCTCATGAATTTCCAGGCATTCTTCACATTTACATGATTCCCAATTGAGGTTCCTCCATTTGAACCAAACAACAACAAAATTACGTTTGTATAGCGCCTTTCACGTCGGGAGGACGTCCCAGGGCACTGGACAATCAGTTTTTCGGACCCTATATAAACCCGACAACAACTTGCATTTATATACATATGTAGAAATCTACAACGCAGTAGGAGGCTATTCGAAATCCTGTATTAGTGTCAGCATTTGCTCTTCTATGAAGCCTAAGTACCCTAAGCCCTGTACCCTCTAACACCCTCCTGTGCACCACATGCCCGTATCTAATTCTCTTTCAAATGCTCTTAATCAACTCTGCTTCAAGGTCATCTCATAGTGAAATCAATCCTTACTGTGAATGAAAACAAAACTCTTCCTAACTTACACCTTTTGTGCTCCTGATCCTGTTACTGCTCTTTTAGTCTTATAAACCATTGGTTGGAGTACTAGTCTCGCAAGCGAGACATAAAACATCATGTCCACTGATTCCTGGGCAGGGCGAAACTCCACATGCCGCTGTTTCCCTAGCAGTAAGTAGGGACCCAGTTGTTAGTCGATTGGCGGATTTCTTTCTGGGGATAATTATCCCCTCAAAAAAAAGTGGTCACTCAGTCCATGACTATTTGTGGGACACTGCTGTGCACAATTGGCTACCGCGTTTCGTTCACAAAATATGCAGTCAATTCACTTTGCAATATATTCTGTGAAGTGCTTTGAGATGTCAGGGTATCAAGGGATACGGGGCTAGGGTGGGTAATTGAAGTTCAGCCATGATGTTATAGAATGGTGGAACAGGCTCAAGGGGCTAAATGACCTACTTATGTTTCTATGTCTCCACAACGTGACAAGCTGCTATATCAATTGCAAGGATTATTATTATTACTGATCTCTACCTACGATAGATGGAGGGGAACATGGCGCAGGGGAGACGTTGCTACATGGGGCTGGACGTGGGGACGGCCAGTGTGAGGGCAGCTCTGGTGGCCCAGGACGGCTCGGTGCTGGCACAGGCCGAGGAGCCCATCCACATCTGGGAACCCCACCCCGAACACTATGAGCAGTCCTCGGCTGATATCTGGGCGGCCTGCTGCACCGTCTCGAAGGTACGATTAACAGTTGGCGCTTCGCGGCTTACGTGACGGCATTGACCAAAACAACTGCTTGTGTACCAGGCTGTGCTTGCGTCACCCTTCATTCATTCAACAACAGCACTCGACTGGCCTGCCACTCACGTTTCTATCAAGTGGAAGCTTTCTAACGATTCTATGTAGTAAACGCAACAGCTTGCGTTTGCTCTATCACCTAAATATATTAAAAAAGTGAAAAATCAGTCTTGATCTCATGAGCTTTTCTCGTTCATAAGAACATAAGAGTTTGCCAGGCGGAATTAGAACAAGGTCCAACTAGTTCACTTTCCACCATCCTGGCAGTTGCTTAACATGTTGTGCCCCCAGATACTGTTTCCCCAGATATTATTTTCTAGCAGAAATCTATTTGATTTGTTCTTGAAACAAACACTTTCTGCTTCCACCTTCTGTCTCCCTAATGCTTCATAACTACTGTATCTGGCATACGTTCCCGTCCCTCTCCCACCACCACTCCCACTTTCCAAAGCCAAAGCTTCCTGGCACGAGGGCTCTCTTTCAAGCTATAATGACCTTTGTTCTGAATCAACTGGATGATAAGGCAACTGGCAGACAACTCGGTTGTGGTCGGGGGAAAAGGAGAAACAACAGTGAACAAATAGTCATTTAGATGAGAAGATTGCTGGAACCGCCTCTGTCTTTTCCTGTCCTGCACGTTTACATTATACTTAAGTTTTATTTTTGACGGCCAGAAATAGTCCCTGCGGCCAAGAGTAAGTAAGCTGTTTATGCTGTAAAATGGCTCCCGCTCTATGGCAATGCCAATGTTGATGCCAAGATTGGTGACCAATGTTTCTCATGCTGTAAAGCAGAACGGATCCCTCGATTGTACATCTGTCTTTTAACGAGGTTGCTGATTTATGCTCGGCTAAAGTATATCTGTGTTTCGTCTTCTCCCTTTAACACTGCTTTTAACAAAAATGTAGCAAGAAATAGATATTTTGCCAACATTTATGAGTCATTTTGGTTCCTGGTTACCCTGTGATTTGCAGATTTAAATCAGGATTTTTGTTGACTCTGGGTTACTTATCTTTACTAGCTGGGGTTATACGAGATTTAGAAGGTACTGCTTAGTAGTAATAATAATCCTTATATTTGGATTGGCGTCTTTTATGTCTGGAGGATGTTCCAAAGTACTTCAAAGGATATACTGTAAAGTGCAGTGACTGTTTTTTGTGGCTGAATGGAAACAGGGAATATTCTAAGCTTGGTCAGATGTTCAAGAAGAACATCTCAGTACATTTTGCATTTTCAGTCTTCTCAGACAGTATATCCCACATTCTCCCACTCGGATCCTGAACATATCCTAGTCATTGAAGGAAGAGCCAATCTCAGTCCCCTTGCAGCAGTTGGCAGGGTCTGGGAGCAGGTTGTTTATCCATCTTTTAGATTGGAGAGTGCGGGTGGAGAGGAGAACATTTCTACTGGTCCCAGAGCCACAAGTCGGGCAATAAATAGAGGCCAGGAGCCCAAGCCAGACAGTAAAATTAAACACTTCACTAATTTGAATGGGAATTACGATAGGGTAGCTACATAGAAACTATTTCCTCTGGTGGGGGGGAATCCAGAACAAGGGGGGCATAATCTTAAAATTAGTGCTAGGCCATATAGGTGTGAAATCAGGAAGCATTTTTTTCACACAAAGGGTAGTGGAAAACTGGAACTCTCTACTCCCAAAAGGCTGTGGATGATGGATCCATTCACAATTTTAAAATTGAGGTGGGTAGATTTCTGTTAGGTCAGAGTATTAAGGAATATGGGGCAAAGGCAGCTCGAGGTACAATTCAACCATGATCTAATAGAATGGCGGAACAGGCCCGAGGGCTGAATGGTCTACTCCTGTTCCTATGTCTTATCTCCATGATTGTATAGATAAAGTTTTTCAAGATATATAGGGTGAAAGAGTATATATGGGATTAGTGTAGAATACAGTACTTCAGATAAATTGATCATTCACTTCTTGGTTGGTCATTGGATCATCCTGTGTGCAAATTGATTACCACATTTGCCAACAAATACACAGTCACTATACTTGACCCCTATTCCTTGTGAAGAGGTTTGAGACATTTTGATGTTATAGGCACGAAATCAAATGCAAGTAAATTGTAGAATTGTTATAATGCCGCATATCAGTAACGATGGGCCGAATGTGTTGTAATATCTGATTCTAGTATTGTATGAACTGGTAACGCAATTTTCCATCGCCCTTTGCAACCTAGGGGGTAAATTTTGCGGTATTAATCAGTTTTCCTAAGTAAGAAAGGGAAAATGGAGTCATCAGGATACATACATCCACCCATTGTTTCCTTTGTTTTGCAGAAAGTAGTTGAAAATGTCAATATAAATTCTATCCAAGGTCTTGGTTTTGATGCTACCTGTTCTCTTGTTGTCCTGGATGATCACTTTGAACCTCTAGCAGTGAACGATGAAGGTACGTCTATTAATGCTCCCTGGCCAAATGGGTCTTTCTTTTCATGGCTGCTTGTGGGATGTTGACGTATTTGAATTGGCTGTTGCATACAGAATACAAAATCGGTGCACTCGACAGTAATCCTGTGAAGCGCTTTAAGACGTCCTCCAACTATAAAAGGCACTATATCAAATGTAAGGATTATTATTGATTCAACTACGTTGAATTCAAGTACACCTCCATCCTCAGTGTTGTGCTTTGTCATGCGCTGTGAATGCAAGTTGTTGTTGTAGCACCATGCTCAGAAAATGTCCCTTACTGAAACATTGTGAAAAGATTTCCATTTCCCCACATTAACTGCCCCCTTCTCCATTAGGGTTAATAATGATAACAATCCTTACATTTGTTATACCACCTTAGCACATCATCAAAATCTCTAAGTGCTTCACGGGATTTTACTGTAAAATACTTTAAAGTGACTATTTTTTGGGATGAACGTGGCAGCCAACACAAACAGCCATGAAGTGAATGACCAATTTTTACTTGGCGATTGTTGGCCAGGACACTGAGAGAAGACTTCCTTGTGCTGGATTAATAATAATAATAATAATCCTTGCATTTGATACATTGCTTCATCACATTATTGAGATGTCTCACAGCGCTTCACAGAATACGTTGAAATTGGATTGACTGTTTATGTTGTATGTGAACAGTGACTGTGTATTGTATTTAATGGTAGCTGAGTGCCATCCAGGAGGCCCACTGGTAACTGGAATGAAACAAGCTCAAACTCATTTTCTGTAGCATTGTCACAGTCAGCATTAAGAGGAGACATTCATCCAATTACTCTGGGTGGGATTTGAACCCACGCCTCAGGATAAACCCAGGCACCACCCAGTCTTATATTGGGAAAAAATTGGCTAAGTGTCCTAACAGAAATAATTCCATTTTAATTGTAACTCTACTCTGTAAAATACAAATGAACTAAGACGCGATATTACGTGTGTGATTAATGGCCTAAAATTAATCGTCTTGCGTTCACAGCAATTTTCCTGATGGATTCTACCGTTGCGGTGTATTTCCAGCTCGTTGCTGCACAAACATTGAACACAAAAAAAACTCTTGCTTCGATCCGGGATTCTTGCCAGGCCGTTAAAAACTTCTGCTTCTGTTTATTTTAGGAATATAACATTTATATGCGTATGGTTTAAGTGAGTCCCAGCAGATGGAAGTAAAATGTTGGCCAATAAGACAGACAGGTTTAATACTTTTAACGACTTAATTTTGGATTAAGGTTCAATTTGAGTCCCACCCATTAAATCTGGTCAGAACATAGAATATTGTGAACATATCATCGATTTAACTCCCAAACATACATTAAGGGAAAAAGAAACCTCCAGTTTACTTATCATCTTTTTTAATAATAATAATCTTTGCATCATGTCATTATAATCATGGCGTTGAGACATCTCAAAGCGCTTCACAGAATATACTGTAAAGTGAATTGACTGTGTATTTTGTGGGAGAAACAAGGCAGCCAATTGTGCACAGCAGCGTCCCACAAACAGTCGTGGATTAAGAAAGCACATTGCAAAGTATTTTGCCGTTTTATACATTTTTAATACAAACAATTTTCTGCCTCCTAAAAACATTGCATTTACGGTGAAGGATATAGATTTGCTCCCATCAGGTTTAGGATCCAAGCGAGGTGTTGAGTTCGTCTTTTTTAAAGCGATGGATAAAATGATTTTAGGATGAAGCATCGCTGCTACATACAGCAATATGTGCTGAAGTACAACTTCTATTCCTCGATTTATTTTTGTTGGGGATGACTTTACTGAGAGATAGGAGGGTAAAAAAAATAGAGGGGCTATCGTTTTGCTGACTTTTTTGTGTCTTTTTGATGCAGGAGTGAACAGCAGGAACATCATCATGTGGATGGATCACAGAGCTGTTGATCAAGTCAGCCGAATAAATCAAGTAAAATACAGCGTGCTGAAATATGTGGGCGGAGTGATGTCCCCTGAAATGCAGCCGCCCAAACTCATGTGGTTGAAAGAAGTAAGCCTTTTCTTTGCTATCTTCACCCTGATATCATTACAGACTAGTTGCGTTCAAAAGTGTTTCTCAGGTATTTTCCCCCCTCCCCGTCTCTTTAGCAAGGTCTACCTCCTTTTGAAAAAGCAATTAAAGAATAACCCTAATATTGTCCCTTTGATATCGCTCACAAATATATATTTACTGAACTTTTCAGTAATTCCCTGTAAAGTGCTTTGAAACGTTTCAGTGTTATATTAATAATAATCATTACATTTGATATAGCACCTTATCACGTTGTTGAGACATCTCAAAGCACTGTAAAATGTATTTTGTGGGTGAAATGTGGCAGTCAGTTTGTGCAAAGTGTTTTACAAGTATATTGATGCTGTGGCTGTGTATTTGTAGGCGAACACATAGCCAATTTGCCTGCAGTGCTGTCCTGCCAACAGGCATGAAGTGGATGTTCAATTTATATGGATGGATTTTCGCACAGGCACCGGGAGAAACTCCCTCCTCTTTTCAAATATACAGAGGTTTCCATTCTTTCTTTCTTAAGATTTTGAGATTTTACCCGAAATGAAAGGCGTTATCTGAGTACAAAGTTCCTGTTTTTTCAAAAGTAACATGGAATCTTTAATGTCCACCTGAGCAGGTGGAATCATAGAATTTTACAGAACAGAAAAGGCAATTTGGCCCGCAAGTAATTTTGTCCCATTCATAAAATGCCATTTTTTCCCACGCCAGTTTGGGTCAGTTTGCATTTCACTCCGGTTCCCATTAATTATTGAGACCAGTGTCGACTGAAACAACACTTTTCTTCCAAATGTGTTCATAAATGTAATGATAGCTATTAGTTTTGTTTAAATGCACCAGCAGCCTAAGAAAACTGTGTAATAATTAGAAAATGTAATGGCATGTTTACATTTATTGTGCGGAGTTAATTGCTGCCCTACCACAAATGATATATTATATCTTTTAAGCTGACATATGACTTGTAAATCTTTGTCAAATGCATGCTTGGATTTGGGATCGTTTTTTTTGTTCTTCGGTGCTCTGTAATGTTTGCTTTCCTTCATCTGGTAATGATACCAACTAACAAGGCATTGAGACCCACATGTGAAATATTTGCTTTCTACAGCTTGAGCTTCCTGACCTTACAAACATAAAGCAAGTGCAGATATCAGTAACATGGTTAGTAATGGGAAGTCAATGAAGTTTAAGGGATTGAATGAAGTACATGAGAAGCGTTTCATGTTAATAACATTTTGCTCACAAAATATACAGTCAATTCACTGTACAGTATATTCTGTGAAGCGCTTTGAGATGTCTCGACAACATGATAATACAATACACAATTACATTTGAATAGCGCCTTTCATGTCAGAAGGACGTCCCAAGGTATTTGTGGGATAAGGCGCTGTATGAAATGCAAGAATCATTAGTATATCTATTACAGACGTATTTTTTTCCTGTGGGCAGAGGACTGGGTGAGCAGAGTGCTTGGCTGTTTTGTGTTTAGTAAGGCTTGAACAAGATATGGCAGGAGAGTGGGATTGAAATTACCGCTTGTTCTGAAAGCCGGTACAGATTTGACTGGCTGTATGGCCTCCTTTTGCACTCTAAGTTTCTGTCATTAATAATAACCCTTGCCTGTCACGTCAAAACATCGCAAAGCATTGTACAGATAATCTGGACACACAATACTGTACTTACAAAATAAATATTTCAGTTTATGGATGAAAACCTGTTCATCTATGTTCATTTTAAAACCAGAGGAGGTGAAAAAATGCAGTATGTGCTAATTATGCAACAATTATGTCAAATGAGATGTTAAACTGAGGTCCTGTCTGCCTGTTCAGGCAGATATTAAAGCTCGTGTGACACTATTGGAAAAGAGAAGGAAATTTCTCCCAGTTTCCTGACTAACAGTCCCCCAATTACGTTGGTTATCCAATTCATAACTGTTTGTGGGACAATCGTGGAGTCCTGTAGCTCAGTGGTTAGAGCACTTGCTTTGCAAGCGAGAGATCTGAGTTCAATTCCATGCAGAGGGCGAAATCTTGGGCAAGTTTCCTTACTCCACACAGAGCCTAATAATAATCCCTCCAAAACCAAAAACAATAATAAATTGGTCATTTTCAATCCACGACTGTTTGTGGGACATTGCTGTGCGCGTTCGCCCACAAATATACAGTCAATTCACTTTACAGTGTGTTCTGTGAAGCGCTTTGGGACGTCCTCCCGACGTGAAAAGCGCTATATCAAATGCGAGGATTATTATTATAATGTTATGAGTATTTTCTGGCAAATATATATTTACTGAACTTGTAAGCAATTCCCTGTGAAGTGCTTTGAAATGTTTCAGTATATTAATAATAGTCCTTGCATTTGATATAGCACCTTATGCATAATAGGTGTGGATAATAGATAAAAGGATAATAATTCCTTCAAAAAAAATGTGGTCACTCAATCCACGACTGTTTGTGGAATGCTGCTGTGCCCAATTGGCTGCTGCGTTTCACCCACAAAATATACAGGCAATTCACTTTACAGTGTATTTTGTGAAGCGGTTTGAGATGTCTTGAAGATGTGATAAAGCGCTTTATCAAATGCAAGGATTATTATCATTATCACGTCTCAAAGCGCTTCACAGGATATGCTGTAAAATGTACTTTGTGGGTGAAACGTGCATAGTATATCCCGCAAATAACCATCGAGTGAGTGTTATATATCAAATCCAGGGATTGTTGTTAATTCCAAGTGAGCCTTTTTTAAACAAGGTATAAGCTATTTTTCTTCAGTATCGTATTTGATAATTAAATCAACTTTTAGAGGAGTGAAATTGGCATGGCACACAGGGGATTTTAGTTGGTGATCAAATTGACACAGAGCAGAAAGCGGGCCGTTCATTAAAGCCGTGAATCTTATTACACATTTTCTAGCTGCTGGATTTATTTACTTTTCATGTAAAATAATAATCTATAGTTAAACGCCTGAAACTCCATTTCCTTTGGACTTGGGAGAAAAGAGACAAGTTTACATCTCTCTAAATATGAATAGGAGCAGGGGATTAGTGTCTAGTCCATGTTACCTTGAATACCATAATAATAATGTAATAATAATAAACCTTGCAATTGATATAGCACCTTATCACGTAGTTGAGATGTCCCAAAGAGTTTCACGGAATATATTGTAAAGTGGATTGACTGTGTATTCTATGTAATTAATGCAGGGAAAGGGAATTTCTGCAACAACAACTTGCATTTATAAAGCGGCCTTCACTCCAAGCGGCGTCTCAGAGCGCTTAATAGTGGTGAAGCCCGATGATGAGCCGGGGGGAGGGGGAAGGTGACTGTAGGCACAGTCGAAAATGAAGGTCTGCAAGCGCAACCTGAAAATGGGGAGAGAAGGGGCAAGGCGAAGGGATTAAGGGAGAGAGTTCCATAGCTTCAGGGCGTAGTGGCTAAAAGCACGGCTGCTGATGGTGGGGCGGAGGGTCCGGGGGACAAGGAGGAGGCTGGAGCCAGTCGAGCGGAGGCAGTGGGTGGTAGGTGTGAAAAGACCTAAATATAAGAGTGAGTATCTTGAAATCGATCCACTATGTGCCAGGCAGCCACTGAAGTTTGTCAAGAACTGGGTTAATAGAGGTACGGAGTTTAGTGCAGGTGAGAATGTGGTCGGTGAAGTTTTGAATTAGTTGAATCTTGTGAATAGTGGAGCAGGGGAGACCAACGAACAGTCGAGGCGGGAGTTGACGAAGGCCTGGATGAGGGTTTCGGCAGCTTTTGGAGTGAGGAGGCGGGCAATGTGACTGAGGTGGAGGAAAGTGATCCTGGCCACGGATCGGATGTGAGGTATGAAGGATAGCTGGGGTCGAACCTGAAGCCCAAGTTATGCACGGGTTCAGTAAGTCTTAGTGAGAGATCGGGTAGGGTGAGGAGGTCTGAACCGCAGTGAGAAGATGTCGATGGGAGCCAAAGAATATGGCTTCCATCTTGTCAAAGATCAGCTGCAGGAAGTTTGCGCTCATCCAGGCCTTGTTGGATGTCAGACAAGCTGATAGAACATCAATGGATTGGGAGTTGCAGCTGGAGGAAGGGAAGTAGATTTATGTCATGCGCATACATGTGAAAGTTGACCCTGTGTCTGTGGGTGACATCACTGAGAGGGAGCATGTCGCGAAGGAAGAGGAGGGGCAAAGGATGGAGCCTTGGGGTACCCCGCAGTTGACCGGCCGAGAGCGAAAGGAAAAACCATTGGCTGAGGTAAAGTGCTGCGGTGGGTTAAATAGGACTCAAACTATGCAAGTGCGGCCCCATTAAGGTGGATGAGGGAGGAGAGGCGGTGGAGGAGGATGGCATGATCGACTGTGTCAAACCAGCAGCAGCGGAGAGGTTCAGGAGGACGAGGAGACAGAGAGCCCTAGTCACAAGAGAGAGAGAAGACATCAGTAAATACACTAACCCTTCTCTTACACTCTGGCAGATTGGTGCAGTGGTAGCGATCGCCTTTGGAACGTTCCTGCACGTTACCCTACATGAAGGGTCAGAAGGTGGTGGGTTCATATCCCATAGATTTTGGTTGGCCAGCCAGCTGTCTGACATATACAGAAACCTATCACCATGCTTTAAGATTGCACAAACCCAACTGAGTTTGGGTAGTCTCAAGTATAGTGATGGGATGGAAACTCCTGGTGGAACTTTGACCTTGTAGTCAGTCCAGTGCTCAGTAATACAGCATGCATTATTGGTGGTGATGTCTTTCAGTTGAATCCTTGATTAAATCGAGGTTTTGTCTGCCTGCACTTTAAAAAAAATCCCATTCACTGTATGAGAAAAAGAAAAAACTGATTATTTGCACCATGGTTGTTTGTGGCATCTTTTTGCAAATTCGCTGCTATGTTTGACACATCCACTGCTACATTTGCCTAGAAGTCCAGCACTTGAAAGTTTGAGACATTTTGACATAATAAGCGTTAATAGATTTTATCATCACTAATAATATTAATAAATGATAGTTCAATATAAAGTATTATTGTTCACACAATTATAAAAAATAATAAATCATAATTTATTATTAATAATAAAATACCCAGGAATCTACTATAAATCCATTTCCTTAAGTGCCTGATTAATCTCAAGCACAATGCAGCACGTAAAGGATTTAAACCCATTTAGGACTTGTAAAGCTGAGGAACCACTTAAGAGATGTGAAATCCTTTCTGTGTTTTTGCACCTTTGTGACTAGTCTATTGTCTTGGGTTTAAAAAAAAATAAAGTTATTACTCGACCGCTGGTTTAGATCAAGGTCGTTTTTCTTTTGACCTTTAGCATAATCTTCCCGCCACAGTAAAGTAATTACCTAAAGTGAAGTGATTGATACAGCTCTTTATTTTAGCCTTAAGGAACACTCTGCAGGTATCAACAGTATTTGGTTGCATCTAGTCTTTCACCCTGAACCAGGTGCACCTCTGTAGTGTTAGTTTGACAGTCATTACCATTGCATTATCTCAGGGCTTCATTTCATTTTCACATGAGACATCTAGAGACCTACACGCACTCCTAGGTCAGACGTTCAACCTGAGGTCCCTTGCATTCGTTCGCCGTCGAGATGTCTCAATGTGCTTCACATGATTGACTGTATTTTGTAGGCAAAATGTAAAATAAACATAAAATGTTCAGTCCGCCTGCTCTAGTAGTCATGGTGGACCGTAGCCATCTTGCCCCTGGCACTATTCCAAAGAAGAGCATGGAGTTTCTCTTTTCCCGGGTGACCGGCCAACATTCTTCCCTCGGACATTAAAGATCCTCTGGCTCTATTCAAAAAGAGAGATTCTTTTACCGCTTTTCTGGCCAACAATTCCCCCCAAATAAAAATAACTGTTTTCTTGCGGGACATTTGCTGTGACCCAAATGGCTGCTAATTTTGCCAACAAATACTACATCACTAGGATTGACAGAAAATTCTGTGAAGTGATTTGAGACAATTTGAGTTGACCAGGCGCTGGGTCAGGTGCAAGGATCGTGTGTTTTTTTTGCGCAAATTCACCCCAGAAGGAAAAAAAAATTAATCTCATTTCTGTTTGCTGGAGGTGGCTGGTGCAGATCAGCTGCCACGCTTGGTCTCACTGTACAACAACATCAACAACAAGATTACATTTGTATAGCACCTTTCACGACGGGAGAATGTCCCAAGGCGCTGGACAGTGTACAGTATTTTAGACCCGAGCTGGGGTCAGGGGTAGAGAGGGAGGGGAGGGGAAGGGAGGGGGTGTGGCCGATGTCATGGTCGAAGAGGAGGGTCTTGAGATGGGACTTGAAGGAGGGGTTGAGGCGGAGTGATTGGGGGATGGAATTCCAGAGGTTGTGGGCAGAGTGGCTGAAGGCTCTCCCGCCAATGGTGGGGCGGGTAGGTCGGGGGACGTGGAGCAGTCGGAGCCGGCTGAGCGGAAGGAGAGGATGGGTTGGTAGAGGGTTAGGAGGTCGCAGAGGTAGGGTGGGGCGAGGCCATGGAGGACTTTGTAGGTGAGGACTAGGATCTTGAACTGGATCCTCTGAAGGACAGGGAGCCAATGGAGTCGGGCCAGAGTGGGTAAGATGGGGTCACAGAGTTTGGTGCGGGAGAGGACACGAGCTGCAGAGTTCTGGATTATCTACAGTCTGTGGAGGGAGGAGTTGGGAAGGCCGACAAGCAGGCGTTTGCATAGTCGAGCCTGGAGGTAATGAAGGCATGAACAAGAGTTTCAGCGGCCTGAGGGGTGAGGTAGTGGTGATAAAGGCAATCGTACACGATTTATTTTCCTGTCCAGTCTGTGTGGGCCCGACCACATAGACTGCAAAACTTGCTGCAAAATCATAAATAGTTCACCAAAGAAACAGACCATTACGCCCGTTGGGTGTGTTTTCCACCTACACCACCTAATCTGGGCACACTTCTTTCTGCTCACTGCACGTTACCCTTTTATCTTTTTCACAAATCTAACATTTTGTGTTCAAATTCTTCCAGGCCTCGACTCGCCCCGATCTCTGCAACCTCCTGCAACCCTACCAAAGTTTCCATTCCTTTTGCTCAGCAGGCTGCTTCACGTCCCCCGCCCTATCCACCCCACCATTAGCGGGCAAGCTTTCAGCCATTTTGCACCCATTCTCTTGAACTTCCTCCTGACTTTCAAAGCCTGCCTCAAAACTGCCCTGTTTGACCATGTATTTAGTCATCTTTCAGTTCTCTCCAACGCCCACCCCCCCACCCCATCAGCCCCCGCCCGCCTCCCTCTTCCCCCCGGAAATAATTTAAGAGTTTGCCACAAAAATGATGCAATTGTATCATTTTAAAACAAAACGGTCTCACAGGCCGCGGTTAGGTGGAATTTCGGACCTTTGGTAAGAAAAGTGCAGCATCAAGAGGCTATTATTAGCTGTAACCCTCAAATCTGTGGTGCTCTGCAGCCTGTTAGTACTGATGGGGTAGATACAAGGCTTTGTCTGTATAGGCTATCCTCAAGTCCTGGGTGAGATGCAGGATACAGCAAGTCTGTGGCATCAATCTCACCAGCTGGTCCGCTCACTTGTCGGCAGCTACTTGTGCTCAGGAATGCAGATACAATACTCCCATTCATACCCCAGTAATTCACGGTAGGCCATTGCGCTGTTACTGTACTCCATCGCCACCCATTAATCTAGGAGGATCGGGTGCCCGAAATTCATCACAGTCTTAGCATAAATCTCCGTCTTCAAATTTAAAGATGAGGCGAGAATTTAGAAAAATGATTAAATTCAGTCTTAAGATGGAAGGCGCTTTTTCACATGGCTCCTCTTTGAAGCAATTATCCTTAAGGCTAAGACTGTGAGGAATTTCAGGGCTTCAGTCTCAAGAACAAGACTTTCACATCTTGAGTTTTGCAGGGTATTTTAATTGACAATGGTGAACATGGAGGCTGCGAAATTGCAGATTTTCCAAAACGCTGCGGATTTCATTGGAACTTCAAAGGACTCGGACAGTGTGGGAACACTGTGCGAGACTTATTCAAAGGCAAATGTGTGGAAGTTTGAACTGCATGATTCCACCAATTGTTGTTGTAAAATTAAAAAGAATTCCCTCTACCCCCCCCTTCAAATTTTGTAACCAAAAATGGTTTTGCTCAATAAAATATTTTCAGACCCGGAAGATGCCAAATTTGAACGCGTCATTGCCTGTGAGACTATTTTGTCTTAACATTTTAAGAGAATCTGGAAAATTGTTCAGTTCACTCCTGATTTGGAATCTTCTTTGTTGTAATACTACCCCTTGCATTTGACATAGCACATCTTCGAGATGTCTACTGTGAAGTGAATTGACTGTTTATATTGTGGAAGAAACGCGGCAGCCATTTGCGTACAGCAGCGTCCCACAAACAGTCGTGGATTGATTGATCAAATTATTATTCAAAAAAGAAAACATTTTGAAGGGATTATGTGAACAAACAACAACAACAAGATTCCATTTATAAAGCGCCTTTCACGTCAGGAGGACGTCCCAAGGCGCTGCACAGTTGGGTCATGACCCGAGCAGGGGGGAAATGGTCAGGGTGAGGGGAGGGTAGGGAGGGAGCGAGGAGGGGGGAAATGGTCAGGGTGAGGGGGGAAGGGAGGGAGCGAGGAGGGGGAAATGGTCAGGGTGAGGGGAGGGAAGGGAGGGAGCGAGGAGTGGGAAGAGAGTCGAGAGGGGAGCTGAAGGCACGGTCAAAGAGAAAGGTTTTGAGACCGGCCTTGAAGGAGGAGAGGGAGGAGGCGGCGAAGGCACTGGGGGATGGAGTTCCAGAGCCTGGGGGCTGAGAGGCTGAAAGCCCGACCACCGATGGTAGGGCGGTTGGGGCGGGGGACGTGGAGCAGACCAGAGCCAGAGGAACGGAGGGTACGGGCAGGTAGGTAGGGGGATAGTAGGTTGGAGAGGTAGGAGGGAGCAAGGCTGTGAATGGCCTTGCAGGTGAGGATGAGGATCTTGAAATCAAACAGCTTCCAATTTAAGATAAATTTTCGACAGTTCTGTGGGATATAGATTTTAGCACACAAAAGCCTTACAAGCTGGAATTTCTGTCTTCCAATATTCTTTTTTCCCTGTTCGTGGTATGACTACCTCTCAAGCCATGAGAGTTAAATCCAGAGTGCAATGGGTTTAATGTCAAGCCTGGAGAGTGTTGACTCTACAAAGTGGCTCCCAGGATAATACGTGGCGAGTGTATCCAGTGACTAGCTGAGCTAAACAGACAGAAAAATCTCATCTTGACTGTTTTTGGAAGCAAATGCGACAGCCTTTTCTTCTGTCAAGGTCCCACAAACAGCCGCAAAGCAAATGACTAATTAATCTCAAGGATTGTTGGCCAGGACACTGGGAGAAATTCTTCCCTTTTCACAAGATCACCAGAGAGGTTCAGATGAAGAATATCCTTCGGCCTGTTTGATCTCATTCTTGTAGATTAACCATCCTGTTTTCCCACTACATCATCAAGCTGTTTCTTGAATGATTCCAGGGATCTGGCCTCAACCAGGTTGTGGAATTCTAAGTATTTAAGTTTTAAACACGGCAAAGGTATATCCTAAAAATGTAAAATTCACAGCTCGGCTAGAAACATCTGAAGGAGAAATGTAGGTTAATGTTTCAGGTGTGACACTTCATCGGAACGGATTGGGGAGAGAGAGCCCTGTGTAGTAGAGGATAAAAGAAGACAGAAATGGTGAGGGGTGGGGGAGGAGACATTAAGAAGAAGTTAAAAAAAAGATTACATATACCTGGAGGCAGCTAATGCTCCATTAACAATGTGAAACAATAGCGTTGAACACGGACTGATAGGTGTACGTATACATATTACATGGCTGAGGGTTGAAAAGGCATATAGGTAAATTCCTTTTAAATGTTCTGTGGAATGGAAATTGGAATGAAGCGGACCAGGCAATGTGTTAAAATAACGTAGGAAAGGGATCTTCACCGGGGTTTGGGAATATCGCTAGTAACTGGGCTTCTTGTCTCCTTTGCATTTACCAGAAGCTGCAAGACATTTGCTGGAATAGAGCGGCCCATTTCTTTGATCTCCCTGACTTTCTGTCTTGGAAAGCCACAGGTGCAACTACAAGGTACGTGTTTACATAAAGTCTGGCATTGCTGCAATAAAGGCTGCTTATTACTTGGGGATAGGAGTGTGGGGGAGGGGGCGGGAGAGTCCTGTGGGGAAAAAAAGGCAAGAGTCGTTGGAGGGGAGGGTGGGGGAAGGGTAGGTTCCAGATGTAGTTTTGGCACCGATCCAGTCAGACTTTCTGATGCTGAGCCAAAAGATGAAGTCATCTGGAGCTTGAGGGGACAATGCCCCTTAATTTGACATAGTAAAGAGCGGCTGATAAGATATTGTCTGAGAAACTCTCATGTGGGTGAGGAGGAGGGAAAGAGGGAGGCTGCAGGTGATATTATGGGTGGGACTCCGATTATGAAAGAGTGCTGTTGTTCTCTTGTCTGACATTTGCTAACTCACTCCACCCCCTTCCCCCACCCCCACCCGCACGCCCACTGTGACTGGCTTGACTCAGTAGGTCTCTCTCTCTCTCTCACTCACTCTCTCGTTCTCTCTCTCAGTAAAGTATGGCTTCACTTGAAATATGAGAGGTCTGTGCAGTTTTCTATTTCAAGAGAATGATCTCAGGGAGTGAATTGGTTTCTGCTCGTTTTGTGCACAGATCGGGATTGAAGGATCAAGGGAGGGAGGGAGGGAGGGAGAGGCGCAAACAAGTGTGTTGTAAATAACATTATCTCCCTGTTGTAAATAACATTATCTCCCAGTTGTAAATAACATTATCTCCCGAGAAGAGAAACTGATGGCCAACACAACGGAAAGTTGCAACGGCTCGCAAAATAAGATGACTTTTTTCAAAACAATGATTGAAAGCATTTCACAGAGGCCATAGTGCCATCTCAAGAGATATTACAACAACAACAACTTGTATTGATATAGCACCCTTCAATTGGGATGAAGTCTTAGAGACCTTCACAATGGCAGGATTATATTGATAGGAATAGATATAATATTTTTTCTATTTGAAGGATGAGTGTTTAAACGATAGGTTTTGTTTTACATGATAACTTTGACATGAAAGGTGCTATACCGAACGTGAGGATTTTTATTGTTATTGCGCTCATCCACATGGCTAGCAAACCACGCGAATTGGTGCGAAAAACAGAGTGCAAACCCCACTTCCCCCACTGCACCAAAAACATTTTCATTCACATGACTTCCTGAACACTTGCAATTTCAGCTGTAACTTGCCTTCTTACATGCGGTGCACTGTGTGCTGCACAGTCATTTTCCTGATTCCAAAATACTTGCAATTATGGGGCAAGTGACTCAAAATAGCCAGTATCTCAGCCACAAAACAGTCCAGTCTCTAATAATGATTGCAGATCTTCCTATTCGACTGTGAACCTGCTCACGTCGTGCTCCCCCACTGTCAAACACTCTGGGACGCTACAGAGGGGCGCTATTACAAATGTGAGCTCTTGTTGCAGATGGACTTATGCTGAGGAGTTGCGGTCTTCCTCTTTTGGTTTTGAGCCTTGTGCCTTCATCATAATCGGTTAATAAATTGAAATTGCGTTGCTACCAACCATCCTCCCACCCCATTTCTCACTGGTTTAGATGCCAGTTTGTCGAAGGAACAATGTAAACCAACAAAATCTCACTTGAAATAAAATAAGACTGGAGAACCTGGGATTCTTCTCCTTAGAGCAAAGAAGGTTGAGGAGAGATTTAATAGAGGAGTTCAAAATGGCTATAATGCTATGCATGATTATACAGTACTACCAGGACCCAAAAATTCCACCTAGTCTCAGCGGGAGACGACTTGATATAGGATGTGAGACAGAATTGTGAAAAGTTGTTGAATCACTTAAAATGCAAAACGGGTTTTCTGTAGTTCTGAAAAAGAATGGGCCTAAGGCTGAGTTTGGGAATTTTCCGCAATTCTGTAAGACAAAAATGATCTCGAAGGCTAAGTGGAATTTTGGGGCCTCCCATGTTGAGGCAGTTGTGGGAGTTATTCAGCTCTGTTCCCTAAATGTCTGAATGTAATGAACTTGTTGACATGCTGTTCCCCATTCTCCAAATTCAGCCAATTTTCCTCTGAACTTTGATAAGTACAGGAATTGCAAAGAAAATTAGCGTGCAGTTTTATGTATAATTTAAAATGCTGCTGCTGTTAGTTGCAAGAACATAAGAAGGAGAGCAGGTCATTCAGTCTGTTGCACCATTTTATTTATAATTATAATAATCCTTGCATTTGATAAAGCATCTTATCACGTCGCAAATTCGCACAGCGTTAAATGATGGCAGATCTTTTTATTCCATTTCATTTTTCTGTATAAACACTCTGCGCATTCACACCGAAAAGTCACAGTCACTTCACTTCACTCACCATTACAAAACTCATTATAGCGTTAGCGTGTTTACAGTGCAGGTGGGTTGTGCACACATACTATACTGGATGTGTGGTATACTTCTAGCTTCCGACACTGACTGATCAGAGTTCCTGTAGAATACGTAGCAGCATGCAGTCAGCTGCGATCACTCGCGCGATAATCCTTTTTTTGTGGACAATGCGGGCATGTGATGTCAATGGTTACCTGATGATCCAGAAGCAAAATCGGTGGCCATTTTTATTTTGCGCACCATTTATCACGGGGTCTATTTTCGTCAACCCCCTACACTGCTACACTGGGTTAGGACAGGGTTGAATTGTATCTTCATACACTCACTGCCAAAATGAAGAAAAGAAAGATTTGGGATCTTGCCTTTTTAATATTCCCTAAATCAGGTCAAAACATCTCAAAGCGCTTCATAAGTATCTGTTATGATAAAAACAGATGTGCAAACGGTTTGATCGTTATTAGATAATGCATAGCTAGACCGAGGATTTAGAATCCACAATTATTTGATTTGTTTTAATTTCATCTGGATTGCAGTTACTATTAGTTCTAATTCAGGACAATCGATCCATTTTCCAGACGTGGGTTACAGCAACAACAACGTGACATTTGTACAGCACCTTTCACGTCGGAAGGACGTCCAAAGACAGTCAGTATTTCAGACCCAGAACTCAGTTACATAGAAAGATTCAGTAACTGAAGTCTCTTCCGCCATTCTATAAAATCATGGCTGATCTGTACCTCAAGTCCAATTACCCGCCCTTGCCCTGCATCCCTTAATACCCTGACCTAACAAATAGGTCAGTGTTGTCAGGAGGTGGCAAGAAGCGGGTTCAGTCATAGCCTTTTGCAGCCCTGGGGCGCATTCCATTCACCTGGCAAAGGAGAGGTTAGGCTCAGTAAATCAATGCAGGGTGGGGTGGACTGTGGGGGAGCCATGCTGTTTGCTGGATGCAGTGCAACCTATTTAACATGCTATAAACAGCAGACATCACCGAAAGAACCTGGGGGGAATTACAGTATCCGACACTGCTTTATTAGATAATCTGCTCATTTTTTTTTCCTTCTTTAAAACTTTTCTGGAAAAAAGGATGTTGTTGCAAATGATTTCATGCTGTTGTCGTTGGTGGAGGGAATGTGTGTGTGTTTGGGCTCGGGTGGGTGGGGATCGTGGGGAATTTAAAAAGCAGCAGATTTGTACGGGATTGTCTGACAGCAACTCAACATCGCCATCAACAGCAATGTGCACTTATACTGCGCCTTTCACTTAGTTAAGCATCCGGTAGTGGCTTCACAGAATTGGAGTGGGAACCCGAATAGGGTGTGAGAGAGACAGGAGAGGTAGGGGGGAGATGAGACCGAAGGCGCGATCAAAGAGGTAGATTTTTTTTGGAGAGTTTTTAAAGGGGAGAGGAAGAGAGGGTGTGAGGATGTGCAGGAGTTTCAGAGAGAGGGGACAGAGTGGCTGAAGGTATAAACCACCAATGATGGGGTCAGAGTTAGGGGAGCAGGAGGCCACAGAGGTAGGGTGGGGAGAGGGGTGGAGACATTTAAAAGTTGACTGAGTTACCTGGGTAGCAGAAGGGACGTGAGGCCTTAGCGTCCCTGAATTCGGGAGGAACCATCAGCCAGAATTACCACTATTACTGGAAAGACAGAGAGTGTAGTGTGTGTGTGTCTGTGTGTGAGAGACCAAGCAAAGTATCAGACTGTTGGCATTCCCCAGAGTCGAATAGACACTCACTCTCTAAGATAAGACCTGATAAGGTGCTAATCAAATGCAAGGATTATTATTATTATTATTTATCTAAGTTCACACATGAACGGTCACTTGGGCGAAGTCCTGGAAGCCAGCCAGCCAGCCAGCACACATGCAACTTTACCCTAGCATGAATCTGTGGCTGTAGGGGAGGGTAAGAGAGAGGAATAACATAAATAATAGATAGCTCATGTTTTTAGAATCTAACACAGCAAATGTTTATGTCACTCAGTAACTTGCAAGACTGATCCAGTCCTCAGGACACAATTAGCCAGGCTGTGCTCTCAGTAATTACTATTTTTACAAAATGTCATGCTAATTTCACGTCTTTCTACTCTTTTGTTTGGGCGGTGAATCCTCACTCAGGGGCTGTTAGTTCAAAGGAAACTAGCCAAAGGGCACACAGAGGAAGAGAGGGGGAAAAACAAGATCAGAAGTTTTGCTGTCTGGAGGGGGAAAGAAAATCCAATCATGATCTCAGAGTGCTGGCATTTTCAAACGTGCTTAATCACCACTCCAGGACATGCACGCTTTCTGCATCACTCCTGAACACTCTGCGAGTGCGCTTCCGAACAAAGACAGTGGGGATTGACGGGGTGGGAAGGTGGGGGGGGATAGGGTATACATGATGGACCACCCTGTTTTGCCCAGAATTTTGATGGATTGATGGACAATCCTTTTCCCCTTCCCCCAACCAGCCTTTATTTATTTGTGTGTGAGCCTTGATGGTGATTGACGGCAGCTAACTTGACTGCCGGGTGGGGGGGGAATCCTAGCCTTGCCCGATGCTTTGCTCTCTCAAAACCCGCCCTTTAGCACCTTGTGGTCTCAGCGTTAAGATAAATACTACTAATATTTGCATTTTATATAACGTAGAAGGGCGTGTTAAAGTGCTTCATAGGATAG